GCTTTTGAAATCGCCAAAGATGGTTGGTTTTCTTACTTGTATAATAGTGTTTCAACTTGCGTTTCATTACAAACGCAGCATTTGCGTTTCAGTGGATTTTCTTGGTGAACTGACTTTTGAAGGCTGGCGTTTACATTCAAACACGTTTTGACAGAGTCTCGTAGCTCAGACATTTCCATTTGGAGCTGTAAAATCTGTGATCTCAAATCGTTTTCCATCTCCTGAAACATTTTTACGAATTATAAATGCCAAACTCACCAAAAACTGATCGCGTTTTTTTCGACATTTCAACAAGAAATAAGAGGCTCACAGAATGTAGACTGTGCAGAGGTGTTGAAGAAGTAACTCCGGTGTCTTGAGAACTCCACGATCCTGCCGGAGACGGCGCAAATATCTGCGATGATGTTTGGCTCGAGTCATCTTCTTCACCTATGTCACATTTCTCTTCTTCTTTATCTGCTTCTTCAATCCGCTTAACAAGATGTGTCTGAACACGGGACATTATGAGATTATCGATCTTCTCTCGCTGACCGCTCTGGAGGAAATCCGAAACCGTTCCTCTGTATGATCAAGAGAACCGATTTTAGTATATCGAAAGAGGTTTTTCCGAATTAAGAAAGAAGGGTTCTTTTATTGAATTTTACCTCTCGAGAAGTTTGCAAATTTCGTCTTTGTCAGATCGAGTGTTCATCACTTCCAAATACCGCGATTTCCTCAAATCTTCCCAATAAGTCCGAGGCCGAGATATTTCTGTAAGCCAGTCGTAGCTCGATTCTCCGTAATAAGACTGTTCATCCTCATACTCTTCTTGCTCTTCCCATCCATTTGAGAACGGAATTTCTTGATGCTCAAGGAATGGTGTTTCTTGATGCTCAAGGAATAGTGTTTCTTGAGTATCGTTTTCTACCTTGCTCGCTTCCACGTTCTCCAGTATTCGTGGTTCTTGATGAGTTACACTGTTGCTCGGGCTAGTGCTTTCAGATTTGCTTTCCAAAGCTTCTGCTACTATGGTTTCTTGAAGATGAAGGTAACTCATCTTTGATTTAATTTCGTTCTTATGTATGATTGCTTCCTCTATCTTGCGCTTTCGAGAGCTTAACCGCTCTGTGGAAGAAGTTTCTAGAAGAATATTGATTTCTTTGGGCCGCATGCTCTCGGTTTCTACGGTGGATTGTTGACCTTTTCTCCGTTTTGCTTCAGCGTTTGCGTTTGCCTGGAACATTTCCCTGCGTTACGAATTCAAAGACCGAGAATCAGCATTGAGAGCAAAATAAGTTCTGAGATCTGACCTCATGAGCTTGTAAGCAGACAAAACAGAGGATCTTGATTATACCTAAGATGTAGAACTGGAGAACCAGATTCCACGCGAATCAAATCGGGTGATTTTGTGGTAGACCGATGACGATCTTGAATCACTAGGCCGCGTTTAAGACTCCTTAACCGCAACATTGACTGTGGAACACGGAAATGAGAGAGAGAACGCGATTTGAACAGTGAAACTTGAATAATTTTGTAACTTTATAACGTTGTGAGTAGTTTGTGTAAATGATACTGAAATGTTAGGTGCTTTTACTCAAAATTTGAAGTACCTGGAGGCGACCGCGTTGAGGAAACCTGGAAACTGCGTTGCGTTCACGAAGCGACTCCAATTCGCGGTTACGGTCGCGTTCCAGATGCATAAGCAGATCGGAGAACGCTTGCCTTCCTCGGAGTCGCGGCGAACATGTAACCACCGGAAAAATGCTTTTCTCAGACACTGACGACGAGCTGGAGGAAACGCAAGGTGGCGACGTTTTCACGATCGCTATGGCTACCGCACCGCCATTATCCCCTCCCCTCTGTTTCAATCTCCGGATAATGTCAGAAACCGAATTGAGAGTACCGGATCCAATCTCTACCGGTAGATCAAGATTCTTCGATTCGTTCTCGGATTCAGATTCAGGAGCCGAAACGTTAATTTCTTGAACGCTCACTCCAAAACCGCTCTCCGTCGGTTTGCCGTTGATCGGCGAGTTTCCGCCGTTGGATCGATTTAGCCTCGCCTCCCATATCTGCACAAGAGAAGAAGCTCCTCCTCCAAGATTGTCGTTTCTCTTCGATTTTCTGGCACGTGGTTTCTCCGGCGATCCAAGACGGATTTTATTCTTCTTTTTCGGTTTGTTTCCGATCCAAGAATCAACTCTATTCATGGCATTCTCGTCGGAGATCGCCGCAGTTTTCACTTGAGCTTTCAGATTCTTCTGGAAAACGACGTCGTCTTCGTTATTGTGCCCTTGGTTACGATCTCTGAGGACACATCCAAAGCTAGATCCTAAAGAGGCGATCTTTACCTGAGAAGACGCCATTTTATGTAGCTTGTTTCTCAACGATCACAGAGACGAAGACAAACAGAAAGACCCATCTTTGATTTGAAAATTGATCTTACGAAATGGAATAGAAATCAAAACGTTTCTCTCTCCAAAGAAGGACAAGAAGAAGACAAAGTTTGTTTCTGATTTTACTGAAGACACAAAATTTTCTCTCTGTTTCAACTAAAAAAACAGAGTAACGATGAAGAAAAAGAAATTCAGTGCAACTGTGTTTTGTTTTTTTGTTCAATCTATTTTTAGAATGTTTTCTTATAGCGACCGGTCAAAGAAAAA